TTCCACCAGCAGACGACGGCGGATTCCTCTTGACCAGCTGTTGGGTGGCTTTACTGGAAGATTCATGCTGACGCTGTTTCCGAGGCAATCTCCTCCGATTCCGGTGAAAAGGGGCTAAGTCTGTCATATTGTTAGGTAGTCCTTCCCTGGATCCTATCAGAGTTTTCTTGGCTCATTAGCTTGAATTTTGTTGTGACGATGTTATCTCGCTCTGATGATGTCCGTCATATGACGGACGAAAGCTTAGCACCTTTTCACCGAAATGGAAGGAGATTGCCTTGAATACAGCGTCAGCATGAATGTTCCAGTAAAGCCAATCGACAGCTGGTCAAGAGGAATCCGCCGTCATCTTCAGGTGGAACCAACCTTCAAATCTCTTCACCCAACACTTTCACTCGAAATGGAAGTAAGCTCAGCAATTATGAAACAAAAGATTTCTCGAAACCCAACTTTTCTTGGCCCTATTATGTCCGTCCTACGTGCATGTAAACGAGTAAGGTTGAAGAAAGATGGGAGCAGAGTAGTCACAACTTTTCTTTATGTAAATTAATTAACGTATGAAATAGTTATCGTGAGGTTTATTTTAGCTTCGTGGATGCGTGTGCGTTGTGTATATGCAAACTATTGTGTTAACTGGCAATTTTGGGTCTCAAACCAGACTCCAGATTAGTCAAGTCTTCTTCTCTCACTCGCTATCTTTTCATGTTCCCTCCAGCAGCCAGAGATAGTTCTTGCTTGCTTTCCTACACTCGCTCCTCTTATTCAGGACGTTCTTTGTTTCGTTGATTTCAATCGATTCCCTGACCTTCCACTTAGCTGGCAAAAAGATGGGCTTCACACCGTTCTATCTGGTACCATGCCGTGATCATATGCTCAGTCACCTCTGACCTTTGCATGCGGCTTTGTTTTGTGAAAACCTCTTGTGTATGGGTCGAAAAGTCTGCGCACATAGATATAACTATAGCATAAAACCTTATAACAACCTGATCTAGGGGCGTATGAAGATTCTCTAAGAGAAGGCATGACCAAAGAAAGCGTTAGTATTTCTCTATACATAGTCATGATATTCCATTTCTCCAATAATTCGCCTATCATTTTCGGAGCGGCAGGACGGTAGCATTAGAAACCTTGACTAATGCCGTGTTTTGTCGCGGATAATAGTTTCTTCTTTCTCCATTTCTTAGTAATTCTAAATTATTAGCAATTAATCCCAGCTTCTTTTCATACCATGTCGACTCGCCTATAGACTAAACGTTTTTCGGCTTGAAATATTGCTATGCAAGAGGTTTGGATTAAGTAAGAATTTCACAAAAGTTGGTTGGTAAATGATGTATTGCTTGGGTTAAGTTAAGCAAAATACTGGCTTTTATGAACGATGCTTTTTTCCTTCGGAACATGTAGCTTCTGCCAATAGATGGCGCCAGAGCGTTACTTGCATTCAAATCTCCCCACAGACTGAATTGAATTCCGCTCAGGAAATATTACCTTATCTGTATGAAGACAAGATAGGTTTCTAAGAGTCCTTTATTGGTTTATTGTGACCATCCATTTCAGAGCAAAAGTTGGTTGAAAAGAATTCGTGGAATGGTCTCATCGAAATCCGAAGGGTGATTGCCGAAGAATGAAGACTGTTGGATTACGCGAAGAAGTCTTTTGCTCACCGTCCAGCCACCCCAATGGACCTGTGTTAAGCTTTCGTGTGTACCGTCACAAACAACCTGAATCCATACTTTACGAAATGGCACAAAAAATATATTAGATCAAAAGCAAAGGTGGCCGGCTACAACTTTAGTCAATATTTTACACACCTATCTTTGCGATCTAATGAGGTACCCCGTGATTTGGTTGGCTATCTCGAACTTTGCATACTTGCAGATGGGTGGAGTTAACCCACGAACCAGAAGTGGGTTAGGTGTCAGCTGTTTCCTTACTCAAACAAACTGGCGTACGAGCAGCTAGCGTTGACTCATGTTTGGCTATGTTTAGTGACTCTTCTTGCTCTCCCTCTCCTCAAACCTATGCAACAGCAACAAATAATTCACAATTAATTTCCTACACTCGCTCCTCTTTTTTAGGATGCTGACTGTTTTGTTAATTTCTATAGTCTCCTTAATCTTATGCTTATATGTGAAGTCCCCGTTACCGGTGAAAAATTGTGATTTGGACCAGTCTTTTAAGTTTGATGTGAAGACTTTCATTTTGTATGGTACTACAGAAGGCGTCGGCTGATTCACGTTGTACTGTAGTCTTTTAGTACTGATTCCATGTTGAGGTTGACGCAGTCCACGAGACATCGTCCAGCGTTTCGGGCGAAGACGAGCATCGCCAGAGCTGGGACTCGTTCTTGCAAAAGCCCCAAGTTCGTCACATGACGAATGACAGCTGGAGGATATCTCGTGGATTGCATCAACCAGAACATGGTATTGAGGCCAAACGGCTGGAGTACAACGCGAATCAGCCGACGGCTTCTGGTGAGAATTATACACGAATCTCGTAATCATGTACTTTCATACAAAATGAAAGTCTTCACATCAATCTTATTTCAGGAGATTCTTCGAAACCCGCATTTTTTTCGTATCTACAGTCTATTGAGCGAGCTCAGATTTTTGGATCCACACATCTTTACAAGCGGTTTTGTGCCAGCATAGTCTCTTCTGGATGGTTCGGTAGGTACCCCCACATGGACATTACCACATTAGCGCAAAATGGTGTAACAGCCTGATCAAAAAGAGAGGGCCCGAAAACAAACACCAAATTTTTATCAAGCTGATGGGAACTGTAAAATCAGAAACCGAGTAAAATGGTTTATCTGTCTATCCTGCCTCAAATAACGATTACCTCTAATCTTGTTACAGAATATTGAAATATAATTATCCATTAATCTTTGCGGGTAATTGTTTTGAAACAATATACTCTTCAATCTTCAGATTTTCTGATATATGTTATTTACTTCTGCTAGCCGAAGACTCCCTATCATCATCGATTTCATACCCCTTACTTTAATTCCATTTGTAGGATAGGATAAGAAAGTGATAGGGAAACTCGCGTGTGTTTCAGTGCCTATACCTAATTTAGTACCTTATTTGCTTAATAATGCATCCATAAAGAGCAGTTTATTCTCATTTTTATAAATTTATGCCACTAAATCCATTCATTAGGTCAGGTTATCCCACCAATCTATCTTGACCACGCTGCCAAACAGCGAAGTAATTGTTTATATACCTAACTGCTAACTATGGAACTTGGATTTTCCCTTGAAACAGGTTCCTTGGGATAACAAAATGGAGAGCCGAGGGCTTATTCGCACAATCCAACTGTATTCATTCCACAGCAATTCTCCTTCGATTACTGGTGGGTCCAATTCACAAATTCCTTGCAAACAACTTTTTCTTCGAAGCGGAAATCAGGGTCACATTTACCTATTTACCGTGGGTAACAGACGTCTTATCAGTATACAATATTTGTGTGGCTCTTTGCAACTTCTTATATAACAGACTAGTGACTAAACTAAAAAATTTAAGGAAGTTCCTTGGCTTTGTTTCCGCAACTTGGTCCAATTGTCAGGAAGACGAAGAGGAATAAATCCTGTCTTCCTGACAATATGACCAAGTTAATAAAGCAAGGTTAAACAGCTTCGTTACAACGAAACGAGGCCGCGATTTTAATAAATGCTATACCATCCTGCTCTTTATACTTTCGATTAATAAATCTGAACTTTATATTAATTGTTATTTGGTAAATTTTATATACATAGAAATCAGGCTGGCTCTAGGACCTGGTGAATTGAGTTCAATTGCATGATTCATAGGACTAGGTCAATCGCGACTCTTCTGACACATAATACCTAGATTAATATCATATGGAATGCTGTTTCAAGAAAAAATACC